TGGTCACCTCCGGGGCAGGTGGGAATCGAACTCATGCGGAAGTGGCTTTAGCTTCTCAGTGCAGTGCTTTAACCCGCTGCGCCACCAGAAAGGGCCCCCATGCATTTATTTAAACAATTATTTTCTCATGGTTCAGCTTCCTTCTCCCTAGTCTTGAACCACTTCCAGTTTGACTCCTTTGCCACTGCTTTGCTGTGTTAATCAGTCACACTCACCAATACCTTCCAAGGTGTTCATTGTACTCTTCAATTCACAGTTCTTATTTGACTCAGCCATATGGTGTCATTTACGTGGTTGATTCTTTCCTTCTTGAACTATTTTCTGCAGTAGTACATGTCTTAGTCAAATTTAGGTTTGCTAGAAAAGAATACCACAGCCTACATAGCTTAAGCAAGTAGTGTTCCTCACAGTGCTAGAGACAAGAGGACTGGGGTGAGGTGCCAGCATGGTTGGATTCTGGTGAGAGCCCTCACTGCCTTTCAGACAGGTGTTTTCTTGTTATATCCTCACATGGAGGGAGGGGGAAGGTAGAAGTGGGAGGTGGGGGGAATTCTCACAGAATTCTTGTTATGAGGACACTAATCCTCTTGAAGATTACCTTCAGTACTCACCTAAACCTAGTTATTAACCAAAAGCCCCATATTCAGTTTGGGCTTCAACATGAATTCCAGGGAACATAATTTAGTCCATAGTACTTGCCTTCTTGGATCTTCTCCTTTGTCCCACAAAGGAGACCTTCCCTTGTCATAGAGATTTTACCTTTTTGTTGCTTAGAGCTAAATCTTTGTATCACATTTGATCTAAACCTATCAGCAAATAATGACTTGAATTCAACCTATGACACAGTCTACTGCTGTCACCCTGATTCAGCCTACCATCATCTACATGGAATATAGCAGTAGCTTCTCTATTACTGATGTCCATGCTTTAACAACTTCATTGTTTCTGCTTAAACATAAACTAGATATTTATTTGTATGTCAATCTGAACTTCAGTGGCAGGGTTGAGTTAGGGAGATAAATCTGAGTTGGTATTTAAGCCACCAAGTTGGGTGAGATCATCTAGAAAGCTTGTAAAGTATATCAAATGGTGCTAATTGGTTTAATAAGATGAGGGCTGATTAAAACTTCCTTTACAGTAAAAACCCTGTCTTTTACTCAGAGAAAAGCCAAAGTCATTACAGTAGTTTACAGACCCTCTGTGATCTGGGCTCTACCTGTCTGGTACCTGGATGGTTCTTCCCATTCATTACTCCCTCCACCGAACAGATAGAATCACAATTCCTATTCAAGCTCCACTAAGCCTTCCACCCGGAATTCTCTCCTCTACTGGTTACTCTACCCTATTGATTCATCTCTAACTGGTCTCTGCTCAGGGAGGCCTTTCTCACCTGACTTCCGTTACAAAATACACCCTACTTCACACCACTATACCACTATTCAAATGGCATCCTCTCCCCAACTTCTCTACTTTTTCTTTCTTTTTTTTTTTTTTTTAAGATTTATTTGTGCACACAGAACTGGGGTACAGGCCAGAGGCTCAGGGGCGGTGAGAGGCTTCACCAGAGACAGAGTGGGCAGCAGAACAGGCAGATCAACAAAGTACACTGCTGAGGGGATCAGTAGGTGGGTCAGGAGAGGTCTGCCGCGCCATGTGGTCACCTCCGGGGCAGGCGGGGATCGAACTCATGCGGAAGTGGCTTTAGCTTCTTAGTGCTGTGCTTTAACCCACTGTGCCACCAGGGAGGGCCTATTTTTCTCTTTAACATCTATTCTGATTGATATATATCATGTATTTAGTTATTTGTTTATTTACTATCTGCATTTCCTCCCAAAAATAAACTCTTCAAAGGAGGAGATATGTTTTTCCTTACTTTCCTCCTACCTACCTCCTCCCTCATTCCCTCCTTTCCTCTCTCCTTTTTTCCCCTTCAGTGCCAAACATATAGAGCCACTATGCAAATGTCTGTTGAATGAGGAAATTACCATTATTGAGCTTGTGTGTCATATACTGAAAGATAAGGACGGACTAGGAATAAGAGTCTATCCCAGTCTGGTGTAGTAGATCTGGATGCCTGTCAGAGTCCCTTGGGAAAGATAGTGAGAAAAGACACATTTTAAGGGCTTTACTTTAGATTACCAGAGGCAGATTCTTCAAGGACTAAACTGATGTCGTTTTTTGTGTTCAGAATCCTTGGGTTCACTCTGGGAAAGGTTTCACCAGAGCTCCCTTTTCAGTGGCACACGGCGAGATTCTCCACGAGACAGAGACTCAGTTATATTTAAAGAGTAAGTTTAGAAAAAGACAGGAGAGGGAAAGACACTTGTATAGGTGCAAGTGGGCAGAAAGAGCTGCCCCAAAAGAGACAGGCTTGCAGAGGGAGAGCCTGCATAGTTGCAGGCAAATGGCCTAAGGAGAGAGCAGCCTCCACTGAGGGAGGTCATTGCAGAAAAGTCCCGGCATGGTCTCTGGCAGGCAAGGAGGCTGCTACCCCACAGAGGGAAAGAGTGGGTGGAAAGAAGCACCTGCATACTCACAGGTGGGCAGTGGAACAGCTGCCCCGTGCTGGTGGAGAGACTGCCCTGATATAGTCAGTTTCTCTTTGGGAGGGGCTCACTCCTTGTGAGCCTAGCGAGAACTGGAGAGGACCGGAGATTTCCTAATGAGCTTTATCTCCATGTCCTTATTTTACCCTTTGGGTCTGAGCTTCAGGCACAGCTCCCAACAGTCTGTTATCTGTTGGGGCCTCTTGGAGACATCCAGGCATCCGGACACCCATTGGTGTCATTGGGCTTTAGTGCCTGAGGACCTTGATTTTATGGCTGTGTCAGTTGCTTCACTAGCCCCTTCTATCTGTCCCCATTGTGCACCTCAATCTTGTGATGCCTCCTCTGCATTCCTTCCTCCATCAAAACCATGAATGCTGCATTTTACTTCTAACTCATTTGATTCTCCTCAAGTAATTGTAGTACAGTGTATGTAGTATACCAATGGTAGAAATCACTTGTTGAGAAAGATCCTTAATCCTAATCACAGCCTTTTCAGGGAAAACCTTTACTCCCATTTTAGAGTTGAATAAACAGGCTCAGAAAGTAAGTCCTGTCTGTGTTCACACAAATAGAAAATCAGAACTGGGACTGGAAAGTAGCTTTCTGCTGTAGAATATATGCTTTTCCCACCCTGCCCTGTTGCCTCTGCATGGGCAAGAGTGGTTTCTAGCTCTTCCACTTGTAGGTTTGGTTGATCAGCTACACACAGAGGCAACACAAGAGAAACTCACTTCTGTGCTACTGCAGCCAATTGTATCTACTCTACAGAGGGGTTGGGGATAATGTGTTCCTGCAGAAGTGGTGGTTTCCAGGGTTTGAATATGCAGGAAGATATGCAGTGCCAGGAATGCAGGTTGTGGGAGGTAGAAAAAAGGAAGAAATTCCTGTAAACTGGTTGTATTTAGCCCTCCAGAGGAAACTAGTTTCACTCAGATCAAATTTTATGAGCAGATTTTATATCTTCAGAATATTCTCCCATTCTTCCCCTGCCCCAAAGTAACAGAAATAAAAGACCTAAAGTTATTACTGAGTATCTGAGACATAGAAGTGTTAATGAGAGCTGTGCACAGTCTAGAGAGAACAAAGGAGAAGGAAAAAAAAGAATTAAAGGTTAGAAAGCTGGACTTCTGAGAAAAGGTTAAAAGCATTGGGATTATTTAACCTGCAAAAGTGAAAGAGGAACAAGGTGATAAATAACACTCTGTAGATGAATTGTGGTTGTTTTTATCAGTCAATACTTAATGAGTGACTTGTATACTGAACATTACAGCAGCTATTTTAGAGGAATAATAAATAGCTCATTGTTTTGAGGATCTTGAAACAAAAATGTGTGGCTACTCCACATAGATACCTTAGAAATGCATGTATATTTTCCAAAATTTAGAGAAATATTTAGAGGAACTAATACTCAAGACCAAATCCAGCCAACTTGGCAAAACAGACTAGGCAGAAAGACTTTGTCTAGGGGGGCTAGGGATTGATAGAGTTGGTGGGAGGCATGGACAGAACAGGACACTATCAGGATGTATTCCACAAAGTATAAATTAATATAGTGGAAGGATATCAAAAGAGTTTGAATTAAACAAATTGAATTAAATAGATGTGAACATTTTCTTCAGTACAAATTAAGTGCCTTTAGAAATGTTTATGTACATTGTCAGTTTCTATAGGGAGACTTACTGAAGACAAGCCCGATGCTCGTTTTGTGTAAAGGTTGGATGAGATGAGAGGAGGGGGACTAGTATTGCTTAGGATGTATTTAGGGAAGGGCTGCTGTGGTATTTGGTAAGGTCAACTTTATAGCTTTCAGACAAAACATATGTTACATTGAGAGGCTTTAAAGAGAAGACCACTTAATTAGATTGAGTTAGTCTCACTGAAAGTAGTTCTTTCAAACGTTCACTTCTATGAGGAGGAAAAATGGGATGTAAATGAAGAAATGGAGTGACTCTAAAGAAGGCCAAGTTGATAAACACCAAGTGTAAAACAGATGGTAGACAAGTGTTCAATACTTGTTGAAAGAGTACCCAGAAATAATATAGGTGTATATAAGTAGTGTCAGGAATTGGCTGAGTGTTGATAAAAATGTAAAAAATACCAAAAAAAAACACACTTTAAAAATTGAAATGAATTCAAATAAAGTCTGTATTGTTGAAGATGACTGGTTCCATATTCTTAAATCCTGGAGAAAAAGGAGAATTCATAGCTTAATAGGACTCTCTCTCTCTGTCAAGGGGAGTGGTTTTTCTGTGTGTGAAAAAAGCAAAACAAATACTGGTAAAATGAAAAAGATATTTAAATAGGGGGCTTATCTTTGTGCCAGCCCAGAAAAATTATACCTAAGGGCAGATGGGATTATTTAACTACTGTTGCACTTTAAAAGTTGTGACAAATAGGATCAGAGTCAGAAGACAGAAGGTGGGCAAATATAGTACCATAAAGGGAGACAAGGGAAAAATATACTTAGTAACCTATAAATCTGTGGCTTTAGCATCAATATTGGGCAGTTTTTTTACATTGTGGCATTTTAAGTTTGTTTTACCGGCATTTAGCAAGAAGTGTAGTGATCACTAGAAGCTAGTAAAAGTCATTTCAAAAAAGATCATTTCAGATATCTCATTTTCTTTTCAGAAAGAGCAATAAGATTGTCAGATTAGGGAAACATCATAGACATAAAGTATTTGGATTCCATAAAGCATTTTGTGAAACTCCAAGTGATATTTTTCTAAATGATAGATTTGTGACTATTCAAATGAGCACTGTTGGACACAGCAGAGAGCTGTGGTAGCAGGCCATAAGGACTCTGTTCTGATTCTTGACTTAGGGAAGGTCAACCTTGACCTAGGTTCAGGTGCTTAGATTATAGTATTGATGGTGTGTGTCTTTGGTGTACCAATAACCAGAAACTGAAGGGAAGGTAGATGTTTGATAATAAATTGATGCAGCTGGTGAAATGTCATTAGGTATAATTTAATAGAGATAATTGGCAAACCTTACATTAGATAGAAAAACAACTGCATCCATTCAACATTGATTTGACAATGCTTACAATAGCACATGCAGAAAAGAAATAATGGTTTTTGTTAACAGTGAATGCATAGTATTTACTAGTGGATCATGGGTACCCCTAAAGGCAATTGCAGTCTTAAGGTGCATTAATGAAATTATACCTCTGGGTTGATGAAGGTGATTATCTACTTGCCAGATCTCTGTTAGAAAATTGGATTTATTCTAAAAATTGTACTATATGACAGACCAATAGTGTGTGAAATAAATTATCCAACACAGTAAAAGTATTTGTAATCACATCTTATACAGAAGAGGAGTTTTAGACTTAAAGAAGACCTTCAAGAGTAAAACACAGGGTCCTATCCTTGAATATTTGTTATGCTGTCATATGGGTAGAAAAATCATTAGGCTTTAAGAAGATATGACTTTGAGGAAGTTTTGCCAACCCACAAGGAATTGGAGGAATTGCAAAGAGGTGGATTAATTTCAACATAAAACTTTTCAGCGAATGGAATAGGGACTACTTTTTATGGCACTGAGTTTTTTCTCTATGTGTATAGTTCTTCTTTAGGTGAAAACTTCATACTTCCATTTTTGGAGGGAAAGATGTTGTAAAGAAAGTATGGAGAATTTGGAGCAATCTGGAAAATTTTACAGTTTTTTAAACTTTTTTATTCTGCTATGTAAATACATTAAGAAAGAGTACCTATGGTATCTAATTTCTAAGAGAAAAGAAAATTAAACATGATAGTCACAGGAAAAACGGGTCTTCCTAACAAACAGGCTTAAAAGGATTTGTTATTGACATAAGTAGAAACATATAAACACATTTCATACAAGTGTGTGTATCATTGCTTTATTTCCTTTAACATTGGCACTGTGACGCAGACCAGATTTTGAAAACCACTGATTTAGTAAGATTCTTTGATGGGGAATCTGGAGAATTTAAGACTTTTACTAGTCAGCTTTTTCTAAATTATACTATATAAAAAATATGTTAAACACTGATATTCTACTTATACTTCATAAAAGCAGGTTGTTAGTTGCTGGGACTCTTCTCTGTGTTCCTGATTGAATTCTGGTTCCTAATTCATGCACTCCTCTGACACAGGAACAACAGGCTAAACAAAACTGTGCAGTTGCTTTTAAAGCTTTAACTCAAAAACACCATATATTACATCCATTCATGTTGGCCAAAGAAGTCACATGCCCAAGCTCAGATCAGTGTGACTGAGCAGTATATGGAGTGAGTGTGTGTGTGTACACATTAAATGTGTGTGTGTAAAAGGGAGAAAAGATAATTATGAGCTGTACAAAGTCATTTTGGGTGCCCTTAATATGAGAAATGGCATGATGAAAACTGAGAAAGTGCATGTTCTCAACAAGAGTGTAAGTTGAGGCTGGGGATTGAATGAGGACAGCTTGGGACAGCTTGTTTCTTCTCAACTGTGAGAACTTTTAGTATTAAAGTGACAAAATTTCAGAGTAACTAGTACCATGATGTCTGTCTTGATCACTTCGTGCTAGCAGTTGTTCTGTTCCTAAACATCTTCACTTTTAATTGCTTTTTAATACAAAATCACAAAGATTTGGTTATGTAAATTTTACTAGTCAATATTGTGGGAGAATAACAGTTAAATAACAAATTAAGAAACAAAATAATCAAACATGCAATAGCATAAATGACTCTCAGAATCATTATGCTGTGTGAAAGTAGTTAAACACAAAAGACTATCTACCATATGAACCCTCTTATGTAAAATTCTAGAAAAGGCAAAACTCTAGTGACAGAAAGCAGATCACTGGTCGCCTAGGACAGAGGTTAGATGACGGGATCCCCTATATATATGTGGAAGCTTTTTTAGAGTGATAGCTGTGTTTTGTAGCTTGATCTTTATAGCATATATACCAGTTATATACCTAAAATAAATGAATTTTAATGAATGCAAATTAAGCTTCAACAAAACTGGAAGAAATAAATGTGCTGTTCAGATAAATGAAGATGAGTCTCTTTTTAGAAGACCAAAAGATGGAAACAGAAAAATTTAGTTAATAATTCTTTCCATATATCTTTGAAATTTGTGTGTCTGTGTTTTAGGAAGAACTTGAAACAGCCAGGAAGTTTCTGTATTATGAAATGGGCTATAAATCTCGATCAGAACAGCTAACAGATCGCTCTGAAATTAGTCTCCTGCCTTCAGACATTGACAGGTAATTCTAATAACTTTCTCTCTCTTTTTCTTCATGTGCTTAAATATGTTTTTTCATTATTTGATACTGTGTTCCAGGTATAAGAAGAGATTTCATAAGTTTGATGCAGACCAAAAAGGTTTTATTACCATTGTTGATGTTCAGCGTGTGTTAGAGGTAATAAATTTTTTTGGTACAATATCTTTATCAACAGAATATAAAGAAAATACTAGATTTTTTTCCTCTATTATTTTCTATGGGTAGTATTTATTTTAAACTTTGAAAGATTGGTAACATTAATAAATGGCATACATTTCTTTTAACTTGACCTCTCCTCCTGTGCATTTTTCAAATTTAGAGTATCAATGTCCAAATGGATGAAAATACACTACATGAAATTCTGAATGAAGTAGATTTGAACAAAAACGGACAAGTTGAACTCAATGAATTTTTGCAGGTGAGTTATGGTGAAAATAGGCAAGTATATTTGCTTTCTGTCTTTTGGCTGTCAATGGAGAGTCAGTAATGTATTTTTAACTCCCTATTGGTGTCCCTTCGGCTTGAAAGAGAAAAAGATGAAAGCTTGAAACTAGCAACAGTTGATACATCTTTCTTGAAGAAAGGCTCTAAGGGTCCTTCTTTCTTTTTGTAAGACATATTCTGTATGTTGGGTAATATACATTAAATTCAAATTAATTGTTGCTTAAAGGAATGAATTAGAAGTAGGCTTTAAAAAAATACCATGGAATACCACTGCTGGACCTCTCTGCTAGTTTATAGAGAGGCAACACTATTTCAAATATAGAATGTAAATTTCTTAGGGATGAAGTCTTAAAAAAGTTGCAGTTATATTCATCTGAGAGGCATATTCACTTGAAACATGACTATTATATTCTTATATTATAAAAAACTGGAAAAGCAAATGAAAGGAAACCTGTATTCTAGGGTCAAGATTATTTAATTCAAGCAATTCTGTTTCAACTTAACAAGGCTCAATTTAATTGTAACCATGAAGGGAATAAATTCTGTTACTTTACATTGAAACTGGATGCCACTAGTCAGTCATTCCTTAAAACTTCCTTTAAAGAAAGAAATTCAACAAGCCCATACATTATTTGTAGCTGCCCATAGGATTCTGATCATATGAAGAATGTATTGGTTTCCAAGCAGCTATGTTTTTTCTGCAGTGTTTCGTGGGCAGGTATTTCAAATGAATGCCAGGTCTTGCTGCACCATGGCAATGATGAATGCTGAACATGAAATAAATTAATGCTGGGGATTTTGGTCAATGTCAGCCCTTTCTTCACTGTGTCAAGTTAAACAAACAAGATCAAGGCAAAGGAAATGGTAATTGTCTCTCTGGAGATGAGCTGCAGATAAGAGCATTGTTGAATCTAAATGCAGAAAATTTTCGCAGGTTGTGTCCAGCATTACAAAAAAGAATGTTTAGTTCTTTAGCTTACTGTTCAACTAAATGCACATTTTAAATTGAGTTTAAAATTTATACTTGGGAATTAGAAACTGTTTAATACATCCTTTTGTCTTTTTTTTTCCCTTGAGAATATTACTCATGTTCATATTTAAAAAATTTTTCTTCAAAGAAATAGCTTCTGCTTCATTTGTTGTTTGTTGTAAATAAACAACAGCTTTAATGGTTGAAAGACCTGGGGTTGTAGAAACAGCAAGAATCTAATTTTATGGATATATTGTTTGGTTGGGATTTTAAGTAATTTTCTTGAGCACAGTAGAGTTAAACTCAGAAAACAATTTAGACCATATGTAGGTTATTTATTGTAGTTTTTTAATAATTAAGAATGTCTTCTAGAATTCTAAATGGAAGGAACTATTCATGTTTGTAAGTACAAAGTACAGTATAATTTTCAACTTAAAAATGCTGAGCATATTTCTCATGAAATATATGCTCAACTGTTACTTTTTCCCTTTTAATATGTTTTCAAATATAAATGTAATATTTAAAGGAAACTGGGCTAGTCACATAATGTTTACGGGTAAAGAAAAAACTGGGTCTGTCGCTTTTATTAGCGTTGATAAACTTTGAAGGTCTTCATGAAATCAGAGGCAAAGCGATGAACAATGAATTGTTCTGTCTTTAGATGTCAGCGTTCCTTCCTTGTTACCATTTGTCATATGGAAAGTGCATTTTCAGGTTTTTTAAAAATAAAGTTTTTTTCTTTTCTGATGATTCAAAACCTAAATTTATCCCATTAAGCACCTTTTTGAACATAGACCTGGTTTTTCAGTGATCCTCATGGAAGAATCCTGCGTGGTGACATGACTTTATTTTTCAGCTTTAATGACACTTCTGCATGTAGAGTCCATCTCTAATCAGCAATAGCTTGTGAAACAGCTTTTAATAAGGTCATGCAATTCTGATCCAGCCCCTTGGCAGATGCCATTTTAAAGAAATGTATCTATGTAGGCTAAAAGCTATAACCCTAAACATATTTTGAGGATCATTATCTACTTCTGGTGAATGACTAGATCAATTCTTTTTAAAATAAATAAAGAAAATTGGGGAGGTGAGATTGAGAAAAGCAAATGGTTAAAACCATATCAGCTTGAAAAGAAAAAAAAAGTCCCCATGCTCATAATTGCAAAGTGCCTTCCAGATTAAAGGCCTTTGCCTGCTGACTGCATGTAATTTCAAGACTAATTCTGGTTTTATCCATTGGATAAAAATGAATTAGCTAAAATCTGGGCTGTGGAGTGCTCTTAATTCTTAAGGTAGATCGCTGGGTCCATTTTCAAGTACTTAAATATAAATTACTTTAAAAAGTCTTTAAGGAATTTGGATTTAAGGGACTTGAAGTTGTCAAGTACAGTAACACTAAAAAAAGAGTAGTTAAATATAGGTCATGGCTTGTCTTTCTTCAATCCCTGAGATTCCTTTTTAAGATTTTTAAATGGAATTAGAGATCCAATATTTGTGTTGCTAAAAAAAGAAGAAATTGTGACCTGAACACATGAAGGAACACAAAAGTGGTGCTTGTGATCTGCAATTCAAGGTAGACTGCGATGCTAGATGGATGTAGTTTTTGCAGCAGTGTTGAAAAGTGCTGTGCTTTTTCCCCTTTTTGAAATGTTCAAAAATATGTGTTTGCACTATAGGACTTGCTATACTTTTTGATGAAGCTCTTAATTACCTCTGCCTGCTGCAAGGAAACTTTTAAAATGTGGGGGGAGGGGGGGGGAAGCTGGCCTACCTCCTGACTCTTGCCTATTTTCTTTTTCAGCTGATGAGTGCTATTCAGAAAGGAAGGGTGTCTGGGAGCCGGCTTGCTATATTAATGAAAACTGCAGAGGAAAACCTTGATAGAAGAGTTCCCATTCCAGTGGACCGAAGTTGTGGAGGCTTGTGAGTCTGAGCAGTAAATCCACAATCAACAAATATAGGAACAACAAATCATCATGGAACAGCCAGAGATGACTTAATACCACTCCAGAATAGTGGATATGCATAGCTGCCTTTTTTTTTTTTTAACACTGGGAAACATTCCAAAGCTTTAGGATGTCAGTGTATATCCTTTATTTGTATTTCCCATTCAACCTAGCTTCCAAAAAGTGGATTTTATCTTCTTTTCCCTCATTTTCAATGCACACTGATTTAATGTTTTGCATTCATTTTGTGATCTATTTGAGTGGACATGCTCCCTTTGGTTTGTTTATTCATTTATTCTAAATCAGTTCTAGAGGCAGAGTATTTTGACAGAAACTGAAAAAAAAGAAGCTGGAAAATTTTGTGATGTGCACAAAACTCTAGACAATAAGCTTGTATATAGTTACTTCTTAAAAAAAATAGGCAAACTATTGAAGTGCTTCTGGAGACTTGTCAGCCTCCTCTCTGATCTGTCTGCCTTCCCTATCCAAACAATATTGCATAATTTTATATCTAGAGCATGACTGGCAAAACTGGAAGGAGAAAAAATAGTTTAGATCTTAACAGGAGCAAGACTTAAGGAAAAAATCTGAAAGCTACCAGAATCACAGGTATAAGATAAGGATAGCAGTGACATTTGCTGAGAGTTACAGGGATAGGTTCATTTCAGCAATTCATTCCCACCACCTCCCATCCCCCTTGCTGGTTTTTCTTTGACTATTATAGTTGCCAGAAATATCTGCTTTTCTTACTTTAAAACCAGTATTTAAGTGGCAAGTTGGATATAATAGGATGAAACTAAATTTCTCAAATCTATTGATAGTAATGAATTTAAGGAGTTAAAATCATGTTGTATACCTACATAAGATAACACACTTTTCAATTCCCCAACATTCTAAATAAACCTTGTAACATGTGATACTGTCAGACATGCTATATCGCTCAGTTAATTTGGGGGAGTATTTATAAACAGATATTAAAACAAAAAGCAATAGTCTTTAGTTAACTGTAATTGTCTGTAGAAAGGTACAACACTGCAATATTCGAGATTATATGGTTTCTTAAAGACTTTGACCTCCAAGGTTGTCCATCAACCAAAGTGAAAAAGAAAACCACCCACTACACCCTGCCCCAAATACACAGAGACACACAAAAACAAAACCAAAAATCTGCACTGAATTTAACAAATTTAAAAAGTGAATTTGATAATTCTTTTGCAATATTTTTGGTAGCATTTTAACTAGTCAGCTGAATTATTTATTGTGCTTCCTCTGCTGAAGTTAGCTACCTATTTTTGGTTTTTTGAAATCAGGTTTATATAATTGGAAATGTAACCCTTATTGAATGGCAGTTTGTCATTGAGCAAACTTGAGGTCTTTGTTTTTTAAACTGGTCAAGTACTTTTGTGTTATTTCTATTTATGTCAACACAGTAGAGTATCTTTGTGTCTCATTCAAGTGACATATGAATCTGTTATGTCATAATAGAAACACTGGAGATTCGCTCACTCACCTAAGCATCCTCCCCCTCAACATCTCAAATAAACAGGGACTGCAAGGAAAGATCACATTTTAACTCTGTGTTTTTAAATGGAGTTTCAACTTGCCACTTCTTGAAGGGGAACCTAAAACAAAGCTGGTGATGCTCCCAGGGATCACTGTGAATTTTTTCTTTCTAGGTGTGAATATTTGCACTGTTTTTTTTTTTTTAATCATTATTATTTTAATAAATGGGAGTATGTGGCTTTGTAAATCAGTAATTTTCTATCAAGACAAAAAGTCATTGTTTAGAACTCACTGACAATCTGTGGAAGAGCTGTCTTTTAGAACATCTCAAATGAAGTACCACAAAATTGTACATTTGTGTTCTTTCTTTCTCTCTTTCTAGTTAGATCAAGATAACGATGACTTGTAACCTCCCTGAATCTATTACAGTAGGGTCTGGGCCTATAATCTGACTGGCCTGGGCAGAGCTGCATTGTAAACAGGCCTGGTCTGTGCACGCTTTGCTACGAATGAAGTTCCTTTAAGGACAAAGAAAAGTACACTTTTCTTCTTTTGAGCATATCTGCTTTTGCTTAAAACCTGCTAATTCTAAAACATACGCTCCTTCACCAATCCTAGAGACTTGTCTTAGAAATGAGCTGATTCCAAATCTTTGTGTGAATAAAGCACCCCTCATTTTTCTGTAAGTTCTTAATTAAACCTGTACATTCTTTGTACCTGATTTCAGAAAAGGAGACAAGAAATGGGGGGATAAGCCCCTTTGGAAAGCATTTTAAGTGTAAATGGGTATTTTTTTTTCTTTCTACATAAATGCGGTATTAGATGATTGTACTGGCTTGGGGGAATCCAATCACATGATTTGTTTCGAGAACCTTTAAGGGGATTCAGGTGAAAGAACCCCCATCTGTGGTGGAGAGTTGGCTGCTCCTTTAAATAGCCCCTACCACAGTCTGAACCACAATGATAATGCTGGGTGACTTGTTAAGTCAGGGTTGTCTGCCGCACATCCATCATGCTGCTTGCAGTATTCTTGCCCTCTGTTTATACTGAGTAACTTTGGAGTTTCTACTATGAAATGCATGCTCAATCTTCTGCTCTAGTCTAGCTTTGTTTTGTCTTTTTTCCCCCAAAATATGTGGCTTCCTCTTTTGTACGACAAAAATTTCATTCTTTAATAAACATGTTGTAAGACTGATCATTGATCTTACTTCCTTTTTTTATGTATTTGAAAAGATTTTTGGCATATGAATGTACTAATATTGAAGTCAGTGACACTCTAACTTGCACTGTTTCTCATTGTCAACCCTTTTTAGGGTGTTTAAAAAAATGACTGTTTTTAAAGAATATCAAATATAAACCCAGGCCTGGGCTAGATATGCATACTGCATGTTTTCATATGTGGCACTTTTATGTATTGTGTTGGATTATTGTTCTAGATTGGACTGTTAAATACTATGTTTGAGGCTGGATTGTCATTTTTATAACTGTCTTGGTGTTTTATCGCCATTATTTATTACTTTTGATATACAGAATGAGCTGCATGCATTTATAGAGCAATAAGAGGGTGTATTTAATGTGCCTTGTTTTTAACTGAATAGAACTGAAAGCATGAATCAATAAAACTGATTAAAATGGTCCATTTGCTGGCATTTTGATGTTACTTGCAGTTAGAGAAATAACTTTGATTACTGTGAAGTTAAAAAAGTTTAAAAATATTTTCACAAGTTATAGTTTTAATGACACTGATGTGTTAATTCTTTTAGCTTGGAAGTTTGTAGTTTTATCTCAAAAGTGAATCTCTACATAGATAGATATAAGTTTATGAGACTGTCAGAATTATTTGTATTAATTTGTTGCTGGAGCCTTTAGGGCACAACTTCTGTATTCTTACAATCCTATTCTAAAATTACATTCATCCTATTACAACTCTGTTGAATTTTTTTTCCCCCTTTCCCTTTTTTTTTTTTTTTTGAAACCAGAGCCTTTCAGCCTGAGCGTTCCCAGGCACACTGATGAATTTTATCATAACTAAAATCAATAGAAATGAATGGGAAAGATTACATAATCCATTTTGATCATCTTACATGTCAAGTTAGTGCAGGGTTGCCAAGCGTTGATAAATGCTCTGACAGAAAAAATGCTATATATTTTCATTGTCAGTAAATCAGTAAAGCTGTTATCAGTTTTAACACAAATTTTATAATGGCCATGTTATTTTATAGGTCTCAACTGACAATGTATATAGAATATGTTCTCCATTTGTGGGTTCCATGCTCTGTCTCCTGGTCTCGCAGGCTCAAAGGCATGCATGAGCTTTTGAAGTTTCTTTGAAATTATTTGGAAAACATCACAGCCATGATTCTCAGGCAGACTCATAACAATAAATTGTTCAGGGTTTGTAAATATATATATGCATGTGTATATATATACACACACACACGTATATATGCATATGTATAGATATATGATAAACAGATATATATATATGTATAAATATAGATATATATGTATGATGCATATATATACATGTAGATACCTATATATGTATATATTATTGTAAACTATGTATATATAGCAGCTCAAAATACTTTGATCTAGCTGTTCAAATTTACCAGTACTTTAAAATTTTTTGACATGAATTTTGTGAAAGTACATTGCTCCCAGTTGCCAAAATGCATAAAACTGATGGTAATCAAAATAGAGAAGTAGATAATAGCATCAATATTTTGCAAATTTTATACATACTGCATCATCACCACTGTGAGAGTTTGCCTCCTCATGATGAGAGTATTTTGGATAGGTGATGGAGTTGATAAGTCTTTTGTGCAGGTATTTTGTACTTTAGGTCTCTAATTAGCTCACTAACTTAGAAAGTACATGACCTAACATGATGTATATGAGCCATGACAATACCAAAAATAGTCCTACAGGTCATGTGCTAAGAAAAAAATTTTTGTTGCAAAATCAATATCTTTTCACTTAAATACTTGACCCAAAAGATAAGATTTATTTGATCTAAACAAAACATGACTTAGCAAAATTTTAAGAGCTACCTTCTATTTCCTATATTTGACATTGGATTTCTTTGCTCAGCAAATCCTACCATTGGTTCCTTTTAGTTAACTTCATTCACACTGGAGTAACTTGAGACTGTGGAGGTTAAGGTACATATCCCATAGTCCTCGACAATATATGATGTCTCATTGGAATAGGGGATGAGTCTTGTCATGCCACCTTAGCCATTTGAACATGGCAACTAGTACCACTGTTTCCTCCTGTCTCTGAAACTTCTGAGTTCACTGTCATGTCTTATGTGCATTACCTACTCCAGTAGTCCAGGCAGTACGGGTAACGTCAGCAGCACCCAGGATCACATCTTCATTGGTTCTGCTAGTTTTCCTTTAAGTGTGTTGTCACAAGGAGTAGAGGAGTGTAAAAATTTTCTTTTTTTCCCTTTTCTTCCTGGTTGCTATATTTAAAAAAAAAAAAAATCTTTTGAGAGACTCTTGGAGACTGCTTTTTCATAGCTAAAGGATTTCTTTGTTTTAAACTTACAGTGAAACTGGGTCTAACTTTCTGTGATTTTAAAAAATTAATCTAACTTATATGTATTTGATTTTGCTTTAGAAGCTAGTTTCCTCTGTTTGTTTAAGTGATCTAAACATAATCAGCTTCACCAGCATATCACTTTACTTTAATCTGACCTTAATGCTTTCTTTTAAGCTAGCAGTTCCATTTCAGCTGCCTCTTCCTTCTAAGGTCTTAGTGTAAACAGCTGTTATTTCTTTTTAATTTGTGGTTGGTTAACAATTTTTCTCTCCTTTGCTTAAAATCAATTTTTTGTTTGTTTTTCATTCACACCATTAATTGATTTACAATTCATTTTTATGCATACGGAGTTTTTCCTATCCAAGTTAAGAAGCTGTAAATCTTAGATCCATTGAAATGACAGTGAGGAATATTTCATTTTATCCCATGAATCATTTGCCATCCTTATTGCAGAAAAATGGCAAAATTATGTTGTACGGTGTTTTCATAAATTACTCTGCCCTTCCTCACCCTCACCCCCACCCCCAGTTCATTTCATTACTTGTTTGGAAAGACTGCAAGAGTCGGAATCCAGACACTTGTGGTAAA